TCTAGTAATCATTGCTGGGGAATTTCAGGAGGCTAATTTATCGAGGCAAATTCTCGTAATTCATGAAGTTTGTTACAAATTTCTGAATGTAAAACGCTATAGTCTGGGGAATGAATATCAAAAAGTTGACGAGTCAAATTTTATTTAGTTTGGTAATCTTTGAATCTAGTGGTTAAAATAGTGAAAGATGTTCACTAGTAATAGCATTAGTTGATTCTGTAAATTCCGGCCAGGTTCGCCCCTTGTACTCTAGACTTAATAACATGTTAAAGCATGTCCTTTTATAGGAAATAGGTAAAGCGTTATTCTGTAGACTTCTTAAAAAATGTAGAAAGATTGTTTGAATAGCCATCACATATAGAATTGAATCTTTTAGAATTGTTAAAAAATAACTTGAGGATGTCGTGCTGACGACATTCTGTTGATTTGAGGGTAGCCCATTCTCAAAGAGATCTTTCTCTTTCGACTAGGTACAAACGATTAACAAGAGGCTCATAAAATAAAATGCATAAAAGATGCTGCAAGATAAAATGATGTAATAAAAATAGATGAAAACAACACTTAAAGCTATGCACAAAAGTAGATAAAATTGAAAAACGCAACCTTGGATTATTCATAAAAATCTTCTTTTGTAGAATGTTTTTTTTTTATAAATTCTTCTTATGGTTACGTATTAAATCTTCTTAGTTGCAAAATCTTTCTTGATAGTAATTCTAAACTACTTACAAGGACAGTAACATCAATTGTTGCATCATCCAGGGGCTGGTCATCTTGTCTTCGATTCCAAATCAATGGTTCTGGACAGTTTCTGGTAGAATTCCCAGTAAGAGAATAGAAATTCTTACTTGATATTGGCACTCGGAGAGTCCAAGTAGAACAGGAGGGCCTTCCCGACGTGTGATACTAACTGTTGGCTTTCGTTGGTACTAACTTCAGTTTTCTCAGGAACTCACTGTTTGGCTTTCTCGGAGACACCGCTGGGTAGCTCGTCTATTAGATATTTCTCACAATGGTAACAGAAACCAAGCCTGGGATCCTGTTCGCAGCGCCAGAAATGAAACTCAGTGTGGTTTCGGTTCGAAACTATTGCAGGAACTTTATTGGTTGAAAACAGGATGACAACAACGCTAATTACGTTTCATATTTAGTTTATAAGAAATAAAACATAGCAAAATGCAAAGTCGGTAATGTTCTCACGAAGATAACACCTAAAGCTGTAACTAGAAACCGGAATGACGACGTTAATCAAACGGGCATCGGGACGGTGTTAGCCGTACCGTTGAAATGGTAGTAATCATCAGGATTCCATAACTTATACCACAGATAGCGGTTAGTTGCTAAGCTTTTGTTCGTTGTTCTGACCGGAGACCAAGCCTAGACGATGTTGATGAAATGCCAAAAAGCACAAAATATCTGTCCATGGTTGACTGTAGTCGGTGGGACAGTATGTAGTAGCTACTTTTTGTTTTTTGATTTCAGAGAAAAATATCGATGACATTGTTTCAATTAAAGTCAAAGTCCTTGTTCAACCGACTCAAAATGACGACAGTTCTCTCGACATGTGTCCAACTTCATGGCCACATAATGATTCTTTTCAACACACTAAGAATACGAGTAAGGTGCGACACTGAAAGCGGTTAACGGTACTGCAGAAAGTGCCGTCAAGTAAATGCAAGACTCCATGGTTTAATCACTGCTGATGAGGGTACAAAAATAATTTGTATTACGTTGCGTAAAAGATCTCAGGCAGTATATCCTGACTGTAAAAAGAAAACTTGGATACAAAAAAATTAGTAAATAATGTTCTTTTAATTATAAATATCTAAGAAATATAAAATACAAATGAAGCAGTATTTTATTTGTCCAATAAGAACTAGGTTTTGAAATCCATACATGGTTTCCCTATTAACTTTCAAATTGAAAGTTGACCGAAAGTCGGCACGGATTATCCTTCCCCGATCGCAATATTTATTTTTTGAAATTGGAGGAGGTGCGTATATCTCATTCGAACAAAACTTTGTTTGGGCTCATAGGCTGGGACACCCTAGTGTATAACAATACTTGCGCAAATAAAGGTACAATAGAAATAAAAGAAGTACTTACTTTTTATCCCAAGAAGGTATAGTCCTATACCTCGTGATTCTAGGTCAGGAATCATCATACGTGTCAGTCAGCCCATCTAGTTTTTCATAACCCGATGGCGGCAAAATACGCCTTTGCAGATTACGCATTATTTGCCGACGATGTGCACATTCTTCTCAGCGAATATGGTTTAGGGTATCCATCAACCTACGATACATGTCGCTCACACATGGCGATATTACAAAGCAGCCTGAGATATAGAGAAAACGATTTCGAAAATCAAGTTCAATGCCCTGTGACTCATTAGAAACATTTGACTAAGCATATCTGGCCCAAAATTCAATTTAGACATTCTTTTTTGGGGCAATCATTACGGATCATGCTATCCAAGTTCAACCAAGGTCCACAAAGCTACGTCACCCCCTTTGAACTCCCGTGTGCACTATTTGTAATTAATTGATGGCCTAAAAATACAGGATATGATTCGTTACCTCATTAAGAAGAAAAGTTCTTACGAGCATATGCTCTAAACTTCTTAACTTTTGAAGTAAAAAGTAAAGTACAATTTTAAGAAAAATTCGTTTCTTTTCATAACTTCAATACTGTTTAGATATTTTTATGAAATTTGACATGCACTTACTAGCACCAATAGGTACTTTCTGATGTACGATATTTTTTAATAATCTCTACCAGTGGCGTCCCTACTGAAGACTTTTAAAAAAAATATGGTACGCCATTGCTTTTCCTCATGTACATTTGCAATAAATTTGATCTCTTGACTATTTTCCGTCCGATGTACCGTTTTCGTTGTAAAAAAAATAAAAACCATTTTCATTGCGTTTGTGATATAACGAAATTATTTTGAACTAGTAGGCTGGTGCCCTATTTTGTTTTTAGAATAATGGCATTTGATCAATTACGTTGCGGTCTCTTACTTTGGCAAGAATTCATAAACGTGATTATTTTTTATATTGTGAAAGTTTCCCTAATCAATAATAAAGAGAAAATAGGTCAACTATGACAAGATTTACAAATTGCGAGTCAGCAGATATGCATCTTACCTACGGACTTGCTAAGGGGAATCCGCTTATGCGTTTATATTTCTGCCGATGGTTTTTAGAAAAAATTGCTGAAAACCCTTTATTTGATATCAAAATACTCTTTTACTGATGAAGCTTCTTTTAGCACAATTCCATTCGAAGTTCCATACCGATCACGTACGGGACGAAGAAAACCCATCAATTACGGAGGCACACCATCAGAAGCAGTTTTCCGTGAATGTGTTGGTTGAAATAGTTGAAGATTTTGTCATAGGACCATTCTTCCTTCCAGGACGACTGGAACTTTCTTAAAAACGATTTGTCAATTTTGCTCGATGATGTACCTCTTTTATTAAGAGAAGAAATGTGTTACATACATGATAGTGTTCCTGCACATTTTAGCATGCTAGGGAATTTATCAATGAAGCGTTCACGAATCGCTGGATACGGACGTGGGGGAGCTCAGTCTTGACCTCCCAGGTCCCCTGATTTAAATAGTTTAGACTATGTTTTATGGGGGCAGCTCAAGACTTTATACTGCACCGGTTCAAACTGTAGAGGAACTAAGGCAGAAAATTAAATTTTCTTGCCAAACCAGAAGAAATACTCCTGGAATTTTTTAAAGGGTTCGCCAATCCATGAGAAAAAGAATTGAAGCCTGTTTTGTATCAAAAGGAAGACATTTCAACAACTCTTGTGATAATTAAATTAAATAGTATTGGTTTATTTGATCACAGATATTTTCAAAACTTGCTGCAAACTTGTTTTTATAATTTCATGTATTGCTAAATCACTGAAATCTCATGTGGTACTTTGTAGGTGAGATGTGTTTAATTTTTATTTAAGTAAGTCAGTTAATTAAAATAACAAAACTCGTTTTGATTTTTTATGCAAAAACGGTGCCAAATAAATGAGGATTCGGACGCCCCTGGTAGAAATATTGAAAAATATTCTTCATCAAAAAAATGCCTATTGGTGCTTAGTAGGTACACGTCAAGTTTCATGAAAATATCTAGAACAGTATTAAAGTTATGATACGAAAACGAATTATTTCTTATGTTAAGTATACACGACGACACTAGATACCAGACACTAAGTGTATACATCGAATGTCTGTGTGTGTACATCGCCGCGACACTTAGTTGCAGATTGTAGTGACGGTATCGCTCAGTGTGTGTGTCGCTGCCGTGGAGACAGGACGCATAGCGCTGTCCGACACGAGTGTCAGTATTTCACGTGTACGTGAAATTTTTTGGTTCACTAATGACGTCACGCGCGTGGTCAGCTGAGGAAATAAAATCATTGATTTTATATTTTGAAGCGCCCCCAGAACTATGGCAAATATCAAATCCTTATTATAAAAATCGAGTAAAGAAAGCAGCTGCGGTAGAAAGCTTGGCCGAACAATTTAATACTTCTGCATCGGAAATAAATAGGAAACTGCACAATTTACGAACACCGTTAATAACGAACTGAGAAAACAAAAAAAAGAAGAATGGCCAAGGCACAGATGAAAATTATGTAAGCACTTGGGAGTACTTCACAAGCTTACAATTTTTAATGCCAAACAGCGTACCAGCAAATGAAACGCAACAAAATTTGGTAAGTTGTCTTTATTATTAATTTTCACTTATGTATCTGTACTGCCAGCTAACTTCGCCTTCAGGAGATACAAAATATTCTGTATATTCTTCACGGATTTCTTTACTTTCATTAGACATGTTGGATCCCACTGGTCTATTTGAAAACAATACATTATCCTGAGGGGGATCTTGTCTTCAACTGCTAGGAGTTACTACACCATCAATTTCCTCGTCGAAGGTGCCTTGTGGTGCATACACATGCCTTGAATCCGTTTCCAAGAGAAAGTTATGCAACATGCAGATTGCAGATACAAGTTTTATAACTTTTTCAGGACATAATTCTATAGGTTCCCTTAATATTCTAAATCTGTTTGCAAGTAACCAAACGCATTTTCTACCACTCGTCGAGCTCTCGACAGTCTGTAGTTATAAACACGATTAGGACCAGGTTGATTACGAAAAGGAAAAGGTTTCATAAGATAAGGCTTCAATGGAAAAGCATCATCAGCTATAATGACATAGGGTACATATTTGGTCCTACCGGGAAGTGGCTTGGTGCTGATATATTAAGTCTGCCGTCGCTTAGAGCATTTGAAAGTGAACAATTTGCAAACACGCCTCCATCGGAGATTCTCCCATTGCATCCTATGTCTGTGTAAATAAATTTGTAATTGGCATCAACTAATGCCATTAACACAATGCTGAATGTACCTTTATAATTATAGTACACGCTCCCACTATGTTGGGGTGCTTTTATGACCACGTGCTTTCCATCTAGTGCTCCAAGAGCATTTGGAAAATTCCATTTGTTTTTGAAATCTTCTGAAATTTTTTCCCAGCAATCTTCAGATGAAGGTACCTGTAATAAAATTAAAAATAAATTAATCTATGACTGAAATAAACATTAATTATTATTATTATTATTATTATTATTATTATTATTATTTTCAGAACTCTCCTACCAACAGCGAACCTGCCAACAACGAAAATTGGAATCAACAGTTTCGCAAAACTCCAACACCCTCTCTCAATCTCAACGAACCTCTAAAAAACGAAAGAAGGAAGATGAAGCTTTAGACCGAGCGTTAAGCGTGTTAGACAAATCTGATGATGCTGCCATTTTTTGGTGATTTCGTGGCTGCTGCAATACGGAATATGAGGTCGGAATCCCGAAAAAGAGAATTAAAACGTAAAATTCAACGTATCATTCTGGACATGGAAGAATTGGATGAAGCCGATCAATATTCACGTCCTTCTACTTCACAGTCTCTTGGTCCTCTTACTCCACTGCCAAATGTGACTTGGGAAAGTTTGGAATACACAACGTACGAACATTTGTACTAAGTTTGTCAATTGACCAAGCTTCACCTTTTATATTAATAACTAAAAAAAAATATAATGAAACATAAATGTCTTTTTTATTTACTTACCTCCATGTAATCCGGTTTTAAACATCTATAGATAGCATCGCAACATTCTGGTATTATTTTTTAGATAGTTTGTTGTGGTACCCGAAATAGGTATGAGAGCGATCGATACGAATCTCCTGAAACGAAATAAAGTAAATGTTATAATTGAAAATGTAGTAAAAGTTGTAAAAATATGATTTACCTGATGCCAAAAATCTTAATGTTATCGACCAAACGTTCTTCTACATTAATAGCTAGTCTCATATTCGTATCTTGCTCCTTAATCGCAGGTGAAATCTTGTTACATAAATATTGGAAATCGTCGTGTGACATCCGAAGAAAGTTTTTAAAACATTCTGGATCTTCGTTTTTCAATTCAGTCAACAATTGGTTATATGCCCCTAGATGCGCTCTTCTTTTAATCCAATCTTTAACCCATATAGATCTCTTTTTACGCATTTTAATGGAAACACATATCGTGACAATCGCGGCAACAGCACGTCTATTCATGGCGATGAAATGTACGACACTGAATCGTGTAGACGGCAAATACACGTGAACCGGTATACTAAATGTATATACAAATGTCGACACAAAAAATTGCTTACCGTGCAGACGCAAGCGACACTAGTGTTGACATTTCTGTCGAGTGTCAGTGTCGTCGTGTATACTTAACATTAGAATTTTAACCCCCATTAGCTCAGAAGCTAAGAGGTTTAGGACATACATATATTATGTTCATATAAAATTTTCTTCCTAATATGAGCTAATTAAATTACACCCCGTATTGTTATTCTTATTACTTTTCATCACTCATCACAGGTAGACTTGACACTCTCGCGAATAATCACCAGCCATTAGAACCTACCACCCTCCGCGTATCATACTCAATCTGCCCTTTTTCCCTATCAGTGCGGGAACAAAATTACTTCCACAGCCGGTTTATTTGAAAAGAATGGCCTATTCGCCGGCAGCGATCTTCAAAACCAGACATTTAGCTGCTTGGTCGAAGTAATTGAGGCTTCCTGGCGGATCGTTGAGACCGGAAACGGGCTCGGTTTGGTATGAAGCGCCGCATCGATACATATTTATGAGGTTCATCCTCACCTTTAATGGCCACCGATGAGTAACTTATAGGTAGTGTTTACTTTTACGTCGTCCCCTAAGACTAATAAGAACAGAGCATTATTAAGACTATGGGCTTTATTGAGCAATACACCATATCTATAAACACTAAAAACATACTTTTATACACAACAACACTACGATTCAATTTTTAATAAATTGACCATTTTGTTCTTGAGATAATTCTTATAACATTTACATCCCAAATATTTAAAATTTGGTAGGAAATAGGCAGGAATCGCTTGTAAATTCTAACGCATGACCCCACCTGCAAACGAGCTTAGTAATATAGCTTCCGTTCGTCCGAACTCATTCAGTCTTATGGTGAGGCTCATGTCGTTGCTCTTAACATCACGAAAGCATTCGATCAGCTGTGGCACGCTGCTCTCTTAAGCAAACTTATATCTTATGGCTTCTCAGAAAAGCTTTGCAGATGGGTGGCTGACTTTATCTCTGGCCGCAAAATATTGTCGGAATTGACGAGTTCCTCCTGTTTATCCCACAACGTCAAACGCGGGTATTTCCCAGGGATCGGTCTTGGCTCCGATACTGTTCCTCTTACATATCAACGACCTTCTTTCCTGCACAATCAACCCAATCCCAGCTTCGTGGATGACAGCACTATACACGCAGGAATCAAGAGTGACAAGCCAATCTCTGCCGCTGAGCTAGAAAAAAGAAGACTAGCGACAACTTCCTCTGTGACGAGAGACCTGGAGGTTATCACGGCTTGACGACGCAACAATCTTGTACAGTTTAATGCTACTAAAAACACAGTACTGTACTTTGACGAGCAAAAAGCGTCATAGCGGTCATCCGGTTTCGATGGACGGCCCGAGTTTTGCCAAAGAGCCATTCATTTCGGCTGGTCGGAGTCCAGATCACCGAGGACCTGATCTGGCACGAACACATCTCGTCAGTAGCAGCAGCTGCTGGGAAAAAGCTAGGCTATTTGTTTAGGGCTAAGAAGTACTTTGCTCCGCATGACCTTCTCACTCTATACAAGGCCCAGATAAAGCCTAGCCCCGAGTATTGCTCACACGTTTGGAGTACTGCCGCCCCCCGACTCATTATTTATGCCCGATGCTGTCCAGAGGAGGGCGGTCCGACTGATCGATGACTCTTCTCTAACGATCAGTCTCGGGACCCTTTCTATCACTACACCAACGGGTTTTGCTCCTGAGAGTTCTCTTCCATGACGCCGACGCGCGATGTGCCTGCCAGACAGACCCGCCTGATTTTGGCGTCCCATCCTAACCTCGTACGTATCCAGAACTGGCCGATACGACCGCTTCTTTGTCCCGAAGGGGTCGAAATTGTGGAACAATTTACAAGAGGAAGCTTTTCCCAGTTATACTAACCTTAGGAAGTTCAAAAAATCGTATTAACAAAATTGGTGTACAGCTGTTATGTACAATTTGTCAACTTCTCAGCATGGTGTAGATTTGATCCCAGGCAGGACAACGGAGGAAAGCTGGGCATGTATCCTCTATCGAGAAATTAAAGTCTTTCGAGATAAGGACAGCACAAAAGTGACATCTGTTACCACAATTGACCACTGCGAAATTGGAAACAGTAAGCTGACTGTTGGAAACTGTACCCCAGTTCGTACTGTCAGCCGAGTTACCACTATGGTCGTTAGACTCTGGTGCTACAGTGGATTCGGCCTACTCGCCATAAAACAAACTAGTAATATAATTTCCGCAGGCGAGTATTATGTAAAAAACTTAAAAAAGTAAAAAAAACGACACGACACGATTGCTCGCTATGATCGCTGTGAGTGCCATCCAAAGCGTCTATCTAATGACTGAACCACAAGACATGCATTGTTGGTTGCTTATTGGTTGTAGAAGGCCGAGTAGTCTGTTATGTTTATCTCTGAGAGGATGTGAAAGAAAGAAAGATGGTTGGGTATGAAGGTCGAATCTAGATGATTATGCATATTGGTCTGCATGTGTATAAAGTAAAATTATTACTGAATATACTGCCCGTGAGGTATATGTATAAGCCCGACAAGTTATTTATATGTTATCCTTGCTGGAGAGAGGTTGGCCGGAGTGAAGATAACATGGCCACGCAAGACAACTGTTGATATATACATTGCTAGGCTCTACAAGACTATCCGTACCCTAAATCGTTGCCCAAACACTTAAAAAAAATGCTGAATGAGAACTTGTGAAAATTGACGCCTTGACGATCGAAGTGGCTCTGTCGGTTACTCAGGCTGGACTATAAGTTTGACAGCTGACCTTGTTATTCTTGTCGCCTGCGGTATTGCCAGCTCTTCAGACGTTTTTGCTACCTTTGCTATTTTGTTAGAATGTCATAAAAAAGATAAGATTTAAGGCATAATAATATTTTGCCAAATAGGTGATTCCGATAAATAGTCCCATTGTACGTGCAGACTATATGTAGATGGATAAAGTCTGTTTCAGCAAAGAGTCTAGGTGAGAGTTTGTTGGCCAGGGGCCGGGCAGGAGGAAGAAGCGGGAGGGTGCAGTTGCCACTCTTCTTCGCTGCGGGCGGGCTTTAAACTCGCGGGTTTGGCGGAAACGGGGGACTAAACTACAGGTAAGTTCGTTTGATCATGTACGCATTGTTGCAACGCACGTCTTTTGTCAGACTTTTGCTCTCTGATGACATAAAACGGTCAACCTCAGAGGAAACTTACAAACGACCTTTTTCATTCTAAATGATCCAAACAATCTGAAAAACCTGTCTAGAGCAAAAAACATATTTGTAATTTAGTTAATAAAATGTTTACTCAAATTTGCACCGGGTTACTGTCCGGCAACCTCTTGTTGTGTGTTAAGGGACATTAGACAAACAAATTCGAAAAGTTTCACCCACAGATGAACAAAGTTTTCGCGTCGTATATTTTAGAGAAAGAAAAAACAAATCTTAGTATGACAAACCTAAAGTCCAAGTGATCTGTCTGGCATTTCCTTCTCTCTTAGTGAGATTACACAATATGCAAAACATCGGTGATGGCGTTTTTCATGGCTGAGAAAAAATAAATTTATGAATCAAATGTTCCCATCTGAAACGGGAAGGAAAATTAAGTTATGCGACTGGCATAAAAGGATTGCGTAGAAGATAAGCAATTGTGTAGAGAAAGATGTGTGAACAGAACAATTTCGCTAAAGGAAAATGCCGCTTGGCATTTTGTAATTGACTGATATTTTATCATGAATAAATTCCAAATTCTTCCAAAGGCATATATCACCACGATTCACAGAAGGTTGACCCCGCGTAGATACCCACACGACGGCTGTGTGGTTAGCAGTGGGAATTTATAATTTTCTGTTGAACAGAAATTAGTTTATTTAATACCATTAACGACCATCCCCCTTTATTTGCCGAGTCTCTCGCTTTCCCTTAGACCTAGTATAACATAGTACAGTACCTCGCTATCGAGGTCGACTTCTTGAACATCAAGCACCCTGCTTCAGAGGTAGTTCTCCTCGATGATTTTTGCTCATAATAAGCTCAAACAATACCGATGCAGCAGGTCGTGTTGATGAAGCGTTCGCCATTTCTCAAAGCCCCAGCTGGTAACGAGCCCTACGTCTTCCTCCGCGTTTCGTCACACGCCAGTATACTGCTGGATCTCTTTCTGACCACGCATCCTGTCATTACTACCAAGGTGTTGTTGACGTCAGCTGTTAGTCAGAACCGGCTGTTGCAGAAGAAGCTCGCCCGGGTCTCAAAATTTGGAATTGCTGGTAAGAGCTCAGATACTTTTTCCACCTTCTCTTGGAGAGATGCTTGTTTCGCTGACTCAGGTGCGTCGACTGCCTGTGCGTCAATAACTGAAGCCATCCACTTGGAATAGAGGAAA